TATATATATATATGGACACACATGGAGGAAAGGATGAGATAAATCTTAAGTTCTTTTGTGTACTGGAAGGTGGATGTTTACACATCATAACTAGCAGGTTAACTTCTTTTTTTTTTTTTTTTTGAGTCAGAGCTGTGAGGTATGGTTATACTAAAAGATATCTTTTTTTTATGAAAAATATAATTTTATTGATGAATAAAAATTATAAGAGATATATAATCCAATTCGAATGAACTAATATATTAGAGGTATTATATTCATAAAATACATGAAAACATAAAATTAAATAATTTAATGTCCACATGAATATTACAATTATACCCAAACTCAAGATTTAATAGTTAAATAATATTTTAGTATAATTCATTTAGACAGAAAATAAATTGATTGGGGTAGAAAAACTTAACTAAGAACCCAATCCCCAACCATGCCTTGAATAACCAAAACAAACATGATAACTAAATTGAATTCAACTAATATTATATTCAAATTACCATCCTCATCATGTAAAAAACAAAACTTGATAAATAATATCGAGAAAGTTAAAATAAAAACTCTCAAAAAAAAAAGAAAAAGAAAAAGGAGAGAAACCTCCACAACAAAAGAGAAAACCTTGCAAAAAAATGAGAGAATTCTCACTCTGATAACTCCTAACCATTCACCTTAACTGCTAAGAAGGAGAGATACCAGCAGCTAAGATACTAAAAGAATATTAAGGCTACACAAACATTATTATTTTTTTTGTAAATAATTATTTACAATATTTAAAAACAATAAATTATAAATTAATTTTAATATATTAAATAATAAATATTAATAATGTTTATTTATATCAATTAATAATTAAAATTATCATATATTTTTAATAATCAAATTAAATTAAATTAATATCTTAAAAATAATATACGAAGCTTGATACTTGGCCATAGCCTTCGCCGTCAATAAGGTAGGTGTTCGCCGGAGTTGAATTAGACTTAGCCATATGCTAAACCATAAGGATTTGACATGATTGGTCAACTAGATTAGGTATGGTTTTGTTTAAAAAAAAAAGGGATTACGTCTGGTTTGAGAATTGAGGCATGGTGAAAAGGTACTTGACACCTAGAACTGTTGTTGTGCACGCGCCGACCTCGGAGTGTGGGTAATAATGTCAGTGGGGAGAGTGAGACGCGAAGATTTGAGGATAACGTTTTTAAATAATTAACTAAATTGGACTGCCGATTTGAGATCCGAACGTGACGGTCTACCTCCGCCCACGTGTTTACCGTTACATAACCTTTTCCCAATTTTTCAGGCTCATAATTTTAAATTTTTCGACCCCG